GTGTAAGAACCAGAGTGAGAGGATGACTACAGGCAAACAGAGTCTTCTGGAAAGCTGTTTAGTTACTTGTATGAACTCACAGCAATGGTGACAGCATACACAAGTCCCATGCAAGGTCAAACTGACAAGAATCCCAGCATAGACTTGGGGACTTGGTTAAGAAATTCCAATCCAACCTAAGGAACTTGGGCAATTGATGTCTTCTGGGAGGGGGAAAAACAGTGTCTTACTGTGATAGGACTCTTGGTGGGCCCAGTGGATGTACCCACACTCAGGGACATTAGGAGCACAAATCAGACTTTATAGGCCATATATACATGACAGTACATTAAATTGGGTGAGGTGCAGATAAGGGAGAAGATATAAATACTATCAAACTATATTGTATGAAAACTATAAAAACTCAATAAAAAATTTTAAAAACAAAATAAACTTTTAAAAGTAATAAAAATTCTGAATATTAGACTTTTTTTAAACTTTTACAAAAACTTTATTGAGAATTTCATGCATGCATATAAGGTGTTTTGATCAAATCCATGCTCACTCCCTCCCCTCCAACATTCCCCCCTGAAGAGGTAACCCTATAATCTTTTAAGGATTAGGTACAAGCTCCCAAATACTTTGGACATTTTTGGCTTTTGGAACAGAGTATGTTGCTAACAGGCCCAAGGACATTTTGACTTTTAGCTTAGAAACTGGTTACATTTCTTTGGGGTCTTTTTACCTTAACTGCCTAGTCAATTCCTACCTCCTATTCTTGTCATGCCATCCTCTGAAGGGGTTATTCAAATTGCCAAAAGGGAATCGGGACCCAACTGTTTTGGCTTCTTCCATGCTGAACAGGGATGCAAGGTGAAGCAATTAGAGTACCCCTTCAGTGGGTCTATCTAAAAGACTCCCAAGTTGCATAACTCTTGTCTCTAAGGGGAAAAGAAAGTCCTTGAATCATGAATAGGAGATGTGAAGGAGAAATAAAGGCAAGAGTAATCAGCCTTACAAGTTCTAGACAGAGAACTAGAAAAAAGTCAGAACGGGGCAATTTTAGACTTATAAATGGATGTCATACTTTAAATTCAGTGAAATATTGGAAGCAATACATTCTTTTCCATGAAACACTGTTCACAGGCCAGGCAACCATTCTACTCCCCACTGCTTTGCAATCCAGCACTTATGGGAAGCATATGGATAATATTGTTTTTTATGAAATTTAACAGTGCTCCTTGGTTCTTCTGCTACAAGTTTGTAGTACTTAACCTTGAGACCTCATTGATGTAATGACAGTGTTTTGAACAAGAATTCACTGACTCTTACAAGTTGTTTACAAGTCTTATGGGTTGAATTTTAACATAAGTGATGTTAATATTAAACATAGTAGTTAAATTTCTGGAAGTCATATAGGGTTCTAATTTCCTCTTAGACAACTCCAAGAAAACTTTATAATAATAAAAATACAGGTGTATTTTGGAGATATAAGGCTGTTTCAGACTATTGCAAGAAAGCAGTTATAGTAACATATGGAGCTACACAAATCCTTTAGGTTCCAGTACATATAAATTTATGTTTCTAGATACTGTGGTCTAGTGAATAACTTGTGAATAACACCTAATATGTACACACTTTGTTTAAAAATGATTCCATTGATAAAATTTTAATAGATCATTTAGGCCTTTTCCAAGCCATAGGCTTTTGCTTGTGGGGGATAGCTTGTCCTAATAAGAAATAACTCAATAAGAAATAACACTTTATTCGGATTTTATCATGAGATTTCAGGAACTGAGTCACATCTTTAAGTATCTCTTCTAATTCTGGCTCTTAAGCCATTTCTACCACATCTGCAGTTTTTCCCCCATTGAAATCTTGAACCTTCCAAAATCATTTGGAATCAAGTTTTTACAAGTCTTTATTAATTTTGACATTTGATCTTGTCCCATCAGTCATAAATTTTCTTAGTAGCATTTAAAGTGATGAATCATTTCCAGAGATTTTAAACTTATTTTGCCCATAGCCATCAGAGTAAATCATTGCCTGTGAAAGCTAGCCTTTTCAAATTTGTTTATGGAATAATAAGACTTGAAAATTGAAATTACCCTGATCCACAGGCTGAAGAATGACTGATAATGTTAGCAGGCATGAAAGCAACATTAAAATCATTTATCACCATCAGAATCTTGGTGACTGGGAATATTTCAAATGAACAGTAATATTTTGTAAAGAATCATTTTCCTGTGCAGTAGGTCTCAGTGGTAGGCTTAAAATATTCAGTGAGCAGATAATTCTTAGATCACTAGAGGAATTCAGAATGGTAAATGGGTGTTGGCTTTCATTTAAAATCATCAGTTTCATTAGCCTTTAACAGGGGAGTTAGCTTGTCTTTTGACACCAAGCATTAAATTTTGTTATCTAGCTATTAAAGTCCTAGATAGGTTTTTTTTTTTTATTATAATAACAAGCTATACATCTACATTGAAAGACCTGCTGTTTAATAGAGCAACCTTTCTCAATTAATCTGGATAGATCTTCTGATAATTTGATGGAACTTCTACAGCAAGACTTTCTGACTTATCTTGAACTTTCATTTTTTTAAATATTTTATCTTTTTATTATTTTTATTTTATGTGTATGAGTGTATTTCCTATATATATGTGTGTACCTGTGTCATGCAATGCCTGTGGAGGTCAGAAGAGGGTGTCAGATTCCCTGGAACTGGAGTTATGGATGGTTGTTAGCCACCATGTGGTTTCTGGGAATCAAACCTGGGTCCTCTGCAAGAGCAACCAGTGCCTTAAATGGCTGAGATATCTCTCCAGCCCCAAACTTTCATATTGTTAACATGATTTTTTCTCAACTCTTATGAGATAACCTCTGCTATGCTCAGACTGTTCTGAAGCATCCTCCTTCTCTTGGCCCTCATAAAAGTGAAGAGAATGAAATTTTCTTTTGAGTTAAGCATTGAATTGATGTTCTGGCTAGTTTAATTTTATCCAGAGGACTAAAGCTTTCTTCATATCAGCAGTAAAGCTGTTCTTCACAAAATGGGAATTTTTGTGTTGTTCACTGAAATAGGCTCTTTAATTTTTTATAAGAGTATGCTTCTTGTATTCATGATTTAATGTGAATGCTACATGACTCTTCCTTTCACGTGAACAGTTAGGACCCACTGTAGCCTCATGACATGGAGAGAGGCACGGGGAAATGGCAGGTCAGTGGGGCTTTCAGAGCACACACATTCATCATGGTCATAGACACAGCTCATGGCATGTAGAAAGAATCACAAGGATAGCAGCAAAGGTCCCTGATCTAAGATCACGATAAAAGATATAACAGAAAGGTTTCAATCAGTGTAAAAATTCAAATTGTGACATGGATATCAGACCCAAATACAGTGTAAGAAAAAGATGGTGCCAATAGAGTTACTCAACACAGGATTATCACAAGCCTTCAATTTGCAAATATACAATTCTTGCCAAGCCAAGTAAACTGAAGCGTAACAAAACAAGGTATGCTTACACTGCTTATAAAAAGAATAAAAATCAGAGCTTAATGTAAATCTACTAAAGAACTTGTGTCCATTTACATCAGTTATATAACTGTTGAGTACATGGAGAAATTGAAGTAATGGAACACAAAACCCATGTTGGTGTAGAGTGTCTTTCTACCTCTACTTGTAACTGGCTGTGTATTCTGCCACCAGAATGTTCTCCCATCTAACACAGATTCCCTGAGGAGATTAAGGATCAAAAATTATGTCTATCTTGAACAAGTAATCTTGTTCAAAGACTTGTTCAAGTTATAGAAAAGGAAAATTAAAGTTTCTTCTGTTTGACTGAAAATGCTTCTGTCTTGGACAATACAGGTAATTTTAATTTTCTACTTTTTCTTTTCAATGATTTTCCTCTAATAGCTACTATTTATAGTATCCATTTCCAGAAACTCAGTCATTTGTAACATCAGACTTCTAGCCACCCACAATCAGAATGGGATAGGGAGATGATTATTGAAAACAGATTAGAATAATTGCAGGGTATAAAATGGTTAGGAAGGAAGATTCTTTCTCTAAGAATTAAGTAGAGGGATAAGACAGACTGCAAAGCTGAAGAGACCTAAACAAGGCCTTGTATATCATTTAATATATAAAGCCTATCTAAGGTTGTGTAGAGTTAGGGCTGGGGAAGAGGAATGAACAAAATAGAGAAATTACCTCACTTGTCTTGGTCCTAACTCTAACTCAGTCTCTGGACACAAGTGTAATGGACCAGTGAAAGTGAAGGAGTGAAGGAGAAAATAAAGTTTATCAATTATTGGTAAATTACTTTCCTGAGTCTTAGGGTCAAGAGAAAATAATCGTGTTTAGGAAGACCTCAGGACAGAGAGGCTCAGGAAGCCCGAGACTCAAAGTTTCATAATGTCTTATTCCAGTGTTCCAGGCAAAGCTCAGCAAAGTTAAATGATATGTCAACAGGAACCCAGTTGTGATTGAGCTAGGACATGGGCAAAGGTCTCTGGATTATTAATGTTCTTTGATCTTTACCCTCCATCCCACTGCCTCTGCAGTTATAGGTATGCACCCTCCTCGTGAACGTTTATCACTACACTGTTTCCCAATAATGATTAACTTTAATTAAAAAAAATACAAGTGATAAAAGAGCATGGTGTCTGGTAAAGCCAGTCCATCCCAGCAGTTATTAACTTCCAAACACAACTGAATTTCTTCTCTGGCATGTTTCAGGAGAGAAGCAGGCAGCTCATGGCCAGAGTCAGATTTTGATTTCTCAGTTTTGGGTATCAGCTCTACTACCATATTTTTTTTAATAGTCAACTTTGAAGAACTTCTTAGAGGATAACTTGGTGTCTGAAGCTCTACAGGTATCTGCAGTCCCTCCTACTCTTCAGAGAATCACAATCTTCCCTCTCCAAAAAGCTTCTTCTGCACTCAGCTCTGCTGTGCCAAACATCTCACTGAACCCTGCTTTAAAGTAACTGTCTAGTGCTGTACTTCCGAGCATGGAGGTGAAGAACTTTGAAGTTTGGGATTATGTTGTATTTGCAGGCCTCTTTGTCATTTCCTCAGGAATTGGAGTGTTCTTTGCCATAAAGGAGAGAAAGAAAGCAACATCTCGGGAATTCTTGGTTGGGGGAAGGCAAATGACCTTTGGCCCAGTAGCTTTGTCCCTGACAGCCAGCTTTATGTCTGCTGTGACTGTTCTGGGGACTCCAGCAGAAGTCTACCGTTTTGGGGCATCATTCATTCTTTTTCTGATTGCTTATGCGTTTGTCATCTTCTTCACATCTGAGCTCTTTCTCCCCGTGTTCTACAGATCTGGCATCACCAGCACGTACGAGGTAAGACCTACTGCAGAAGGAGATGCTGTTTCTGTTCACTTGAAGGATTTCTGTTATCCTTGTTTTTTTCTCTCTGTAAATGCTTATCATCTTAACAGCAGTCATTGACGAATACTCACTATTTGGGGGGAAATTCTACATTGCCAAAAAGACATGTATGATGGGGGAGAGGAACCTGAGTTTTGACTGTCTGTCACTCTATAGAAAATAAGAGAGTGATGTCAATCCCATTGGCTATTTCCATGATTAAATGCGGATCTATGTATAAAACTTGATGTATTTTCTAGTTTGTGAGAGACAATTAAGAAAAGAGAAATGGTGTTATTTTTATTATTAGCAAAATTAGTCTGAAAGACAGAGGTGGTACTATCAGTATTATAATTTTCCAACTAAATAAATCTTTGATACAGATAATTAAATACTTTCTAGAAGGTCTTAAGACATAATTCCAGTGCTGGAGAGATGTTCAGTAGGTAGAGCACTGGCTGCTCTTGCAGAGAACCCTGGTTTGGTTTCCAGCACCTACATGGTGGCTAACAACCGTCCATAACACCAGTTCCAGGGTATCCAATGCCCTCTTCTGACCTCCATGGGTACCGCACAACAGGTGCACTTACACACATGTTGGCAATACACTCATATGCATAAAATAAAAATAATAAATAAAATATTTTAAAAAGATATATTATTGCATAGATGGTCATATCACTTATATTCATCATTAATTTTCTGATGCCAAAAGAAGATAACCACAGTTGAGTGATTCAACAAATACTGCTTGGACTACAAATTCAAGAGAAAATAACTAAATGTATGTGTGGTCGCCGGCTATGGCTGCTCTCCTCCAGCTATGGCCACTCTCCTGCTCTCTCAGTTCCTCCAATCAGTCGTCCGGTCTAGAACCCAGGGCTGGTGAGGAGTCTGAGCCAGCGTCGCCGCATTCAGATGCAGGAGACCAGGTTCAGTGACACAGATCTGCTTTATTGCAGGAAGGCATAAGCTTATATAGGGGTAGTGGTCCAATCACAGCACAGCAAGTAGGATACCTTATTAGCATAACAGGTTTAGCATCCTATCACAGTACAGCAAGTAGGATATCTTGATTCCAAGGGTGGTGATTAGGGAGTGGCAAGCTCTAGGCATCAGTCTCATGATTTGCCAATGGGAGCAAAATGTCACAAGGCGTTCCTTGTGGCTCCAGTGGTCTGGCTGTTGCCTCAGGTCTGCTGTATGGCTGTCAACAAGACTTTCACCCTAGGCTCAAGCCTGTCTCCCGCATGTATGATTTGTCCTAAAATGTGGACATATCTCATTACACATTAATGTACTTCCAAAAATATTTGATCTAGATTTTTCCATTCAAGTAAAGATTTGACTGAAAAAGACATTGCTAAATTTTTTAAACAAAATTTATATACATTTCAATGCATATTTTAAATTTAATATTGTGCTGTTCATAGAAAACATCTTAGTCATCTGTATACCTCTTCCTTCATTCCCCACCCCCTCCATAGCCACCTCCCACTGGGTTTCATGCATTCTGTCATATATGTTAAGACCTATTGAGTCAAGTTTGTGTACCCAGATGTCCCTCAGTGCAAGTCCATCCACTGAAGTCTAGTCAGCCTGTCTAGAGCCTCTCCCTTAAGAAGATCAGCTCTTCCTCACCCATCACTAATCAGCTGTCAATAGTTCTTTGGCTCAAGTTGGGGCCTGCTGCTCATTTCCTCAGTTCTATGCTGGGTTTTTGTCAGACTGAGTTTGCACAGGTCTTGTGCATTCTGTCACCATAGCTGTAAGTTCATATAAGCAACTGCCCAGAGGCTTGTATATCCCTAGTCTTGTACTTGGTATTATCATACTTATGCCCCTTTATTTTTATTTTATGTATATAGTGATTTGCCTGCATGTATATGGGTGTGCCTGTGTCATGCAATGCCCACAAATCTCAGAAGAGGGTGTTGGATTCCCCGAACTGGAGCTACTGATGGTTGTTAATTGCCATGTAGATACTAGGAATTGAACCTGGGGACTCTACAAGAGCAGCCAGTACTCTTAACCACTGAGCCATCTCTCCAGCACCCTTGATTTTGATTTTTAAATGTTTGCTTTTAGAAGAGAAACCTATGGCTGGATGCTGTAAGCTCCCTTTCTCAGAGGCATGCATTTTGAACTCAAGTGCTCTTTAAGGCAAAAGTTTCACACTGTTTTCAGTGCTACAGTATTTGAGACTTTTGATTTCCCGGTGATTTTCTTTACTTTTGTGAGAATATTTATAAAATCGTATAGCTTTAGTCACATATTCACTAGACTGTGATTGAATACAAGTGTAGTAACTTATTACCTAAAAAAAAACAAGAGCCTAAAAGTAACATGGTTTTATTTTATCTATATTTTATTATTTTTATTTTATGTGAATGAGTGTATTGCCTGAATATATGAAAGTGCACCTGTGTTGTGCAATGCCTGCAGAGGTCAGAAGAGGGCATCGGGTCCCCTGAATTTTGAAAACAGGTCATAATTCTACAGATAGTTTTTAGCTTCTGAGAAGGATTCATGTTAAACAGCAAAATATTTATGTGTCATTTCTTAGGAAGTGGACTAATTAGTAATCAATCCTTTACTTAAAAAACGATTTTTCTTTTTTCTTTCTTTTTTAAATTGAATTTTTACAAATTTCATGTGATGCGTCTTGAACATATTCATATCACTTCATCACCTACCTTCATCACCCCCATACCTCCCCCACTATATTTCATGTATTCTGTCATATATGTTAAGGCCTATTGAGCCAAGTTTGTGTCCCCTGATGTCCCTCAGTATAAGTTCATCCTTTGGAGCCTGGTCAACCTATCTAACATCACTCCTGCAAAGAAAACCAATTCTCCCTCTCCCAGTAGTCATCAATTGTCAATAGTTTCTCTGCTAAGATTGGGGCTTCTTAGTCACTTCCCCACCGCTATGCTGCGTTTTTGTCTGTTTTGAGCTTCCACTGATATTGTACAGTTGTCACCAGTAAGTTCATATAAGCAACTTCCCAGTTTCCTGAAAAACTTTATTTCTTTGTAGTCATCCTCTACCCCAGTTCTTATAACCATTCTTCCCTCTCTTTTGCAATGGTTCCTGAACCTTGGCAAGCAGAGGTTTGAAATAGGTGTCCTACTCAGGGACAAACACTCTGCAGTCTCTTTTTCTCTGCACTTTGGCTAGTTGTGGCTTTCTAAGTTAATCACTGTCTGTTGCATGAGGACGCTTCACTGGTGAGAGTTGACAGATGTATTAGTATTCTTTACTTCCTGCTCCCTATTCTGATATTTCCTGAGCTGTAGGTATAGAAGTTGCATTGTGGATGTGTCTACTTAAGGCTGGGCACCTCACTCATAGACACTTATTCTCTGCATTGACCAGTTCTAGAACTTTGTAACAGTCTCCATCTGTTACACAAAGAAGCTTTTTAGATGAGTGGTGAAAGGTAAATCTGTTTTTAAATATAAGGACACATATTTAAAATATAGTAAGACATTATGTTGGTGTACGGATGACAAAAGTAGTTTTTTTTTTGTTTTTTTTTGTTTTTTCTAGAACCTAAGATCTCTTCAGCCATGTGTTTGGCTATGTTTACAGTACCACACATGAGTTTCCTCCCATTGCATAGGCCTTAATTCCAATTAGACAGCTGTTGATTACTCCCAAAGTAAAAGCATTACTAATACACCAATGGAGATTGTTCTGGACCAGTCATTGTGTATTAGACTTTATAGCTGGGTTAGGAACATTGATTGTTTTTTCTCCTTTGGCAACTTGCACAGTATATTCTCATATAATGAGAGCTATTCTTCAGGGATGAGGTTTCCAGGCCAGTTCTAACTTGATTGCTACAAGTCCTGTGTCTGAAGTATGTCCTGTTTTCAGCAATAGGTTCTTACCTTCAAGTTCTGGGAGGCAATCAAGGCTGTGGCAAATTCAGATATGAGACAGCTATGACCAAGAAGTAACTACAATTGAATCCTTAGAAAGCTGAATCCTGGAGTCATTTGTAACTTCAAATGTTTGTTTTGTTGGCCCACTACATACTTATCATACATTGGAAGACACTCATCTTTTAGAATACTAATTCGAAAAATCTTTCCGGACTTCTAACAGTAAACCAGATCCTGCTATTTAGTATTCACAGCTCCTTACAACTCTTCTCCTAGTATTATTACATCGTGAATTCATGTCAGCATAAATACTTGTTAAAAATGCTTTATGTAATCTATTAGACCCTCAAGATCCTCTGAGGACTAGACTATAACTGTAGGAGGAAGTGCGTGATGGCCTGACTGCGCATGTGCCGTAGCCCACTTCCCCTTTTGCCAACCTGTATCCTGCCTCGGAGCCTGGAGATGGATGACACTGCACCATCAGATGCTCCGGGTCAAGGAGGAGAAGACACAATACCAGAAGAAACCATCGGGGACCAATGGAACACAGGGAGGGGGTATATAAGCACACCCTGTTTCTGCATTAAAGGAGTCGGCAGCTGCTCACACTGCCTGCTTCTTACCTGACTCCCTGGTGTCTGTGTGGTGACTCCGCGCCCAACTCCCCCACCCAAGGGGTGCTCAAGGGTCCCCATAACATATAACTTCTTTGATTACCATTGTGCATAACACAAACATACGTGTGTGTGTTTATATCTTATGCCTATAGCATGTGATATCATACATGGTCAGATAAAGAGAAGAAATAGTTTTTTTCAATTAACATTATCTTGGCTTATCTAGGTGGGCCTTAAATATAAATGGAATCACATGTACCTTAAAAAGAGTATACAGTCAGAGATATCACAGCAAAAGCAAAGGTAATGTTTGACTATAGAGGCAGAGATCAGGGTGATGGAGTCAGTAACAAAGGACTATCAGACATCATCAAAATTCAAAGATGCCAGAGCATATTCATTATTGGGAACTTCTGAGGGAATGAGCACTGCCAACTGATTTGGCCCAGTGAAATTTGTTTTGGATCTCTGGTCTCCAGAAATGGATGGTTATGCATTTCTATTGTTTTAAGCTGTCAGTATTCACAGATATCAAGACAGGAACTGATTAGCTTTAAAAACGTTCATTATAGCTCTACCAGAGTTCAGAGGAGAGATTTTGAGTAGGAACAGGAATGTCAGTGGGGACATTCTTTTTGAGAGATAACTAGAAATGTTAGGGACAAATTTGGACATTTAAATTTGGGGAGAAAACATCTTTCACTGAGAATTTTCTGAAACAATAAAAATTGAATAAGTTAAAAAAGGTATACTAGCTGAATAATTAATAATGATTTAATATGGAGAATAGATTATGAAACTTAGAGGTAGGACTAAAGATGGGAGGTCAGGCAATAGTGGATGGAAAATTACCAAAGATTTTGAGAAAGTGGTATGAAAAGAATCAACGTGGCAGGTGTGAGTTCATGGACCAGATGAGCAAGATTATTATTAATGCTGGGGGTGGGGGGGTTATAGTATTAATCTGGAAAAAAGGAAGCAAAGATTTAAGCTACATTTGGGATGTCAGTAGGTCTAGGATGGGCAGAAAATGAGAAAATCTAGACTTTCATACAACTAATATGTTTATTTTCCTTGACTGTCATGGAAAGAATAAACAGAATTAGTTTTAATGTATGTTTAACTTTTAGCAATGCATGCTCTTTTCTCCCTTTGTTTCTAAGGATGAATAACAAAATATTATAAACCCAAAGCACCAAATTCAAATGGATATCAAGGAAATGAAGGAGGACTTCAGTAGGTCTTGCCTAAAATTCACTGACTGCATGTCTTTTTCTGTTCTTTAGTATTTACAACTGCGATTCAACAAACCAGTTCGCTATGCAGCAACAGTCATCTACATTGTGCAGACGGTGAGGAGCAATGACTGTTGACATGGAGACTAAGGGGTGGCCCAGTGATGGAATTATCTCAATTAAAGGAGATACTTTGTACTAAGATAGCACTTTCTTCCAAAGATATCACTTTCATGATGCATGGTTAGTTATCCTGAGAGGCATTCACATTGCATAGTTTCCATGTATCTGAAGAAGCCATAGAGGAAAAGAAATTTCCTCTAATTTATTTATTTGTTTAATTGTTGCCTTTTTGAGGCAGGGTCTCCCTGTAGCCACAGGAGAGTTGGCCTGGAACTCGCTATGGGGAACAGGCTGGCCTCCATCTCACAGAGATCTGTTTGCCTCTGCCTTGCAATTGCTAGGATTAAAGGCCTGTACCACCATACGTGGCTTTGTTTAACTCTTCGAAACTTTAAATATGGGATGATCTGGTAAATTGTTCTGCTGTTTTATTTTTGAGGCAAGTTTTCACAATACAACCCAGGCTGGAAATTTTCCTGCCTCTGTATTCCAAGTCTTAAGATCAGGTTTACACTGCCCATGTCTGGCTTAGCTTTTAAAACTGGTTATCTGAGTTGAACCAGAAATTCCTGCTTTTCTGTAAGTCTTACCCTTTGATGCAGTATTCCCTATCAGCATCTCTACTTCTTCCCCAAGGAAGACTTCCCCTGACAGGCTTTGGGATACCTCGGAGCTGCCCAAGCTTACCTGTGGCACACAAATGCTGATGCTACCACTTACCAAGTGCTTTCTGCTAAAAGATAACCTGTTCTCTTAATCAAAACCCCACTCCCTGCCTGAATGATTTACTAATTGCTTCTTGAATTGCCCAGATATTTGCATTTTAAATCCATCCCATTCACATTCCCATGACTCTCTAAATAATGGAATCTCATTTATAATAAAATTGAAAAATGAACTTATTTCCACTAGGGTAGCAACCACAATTTTGTGAATTAGAAGAAGCTTTGAATGTGAAGGTCACCCTTACTGTCACTCTGCCTTGTATAGTTCCTCCTCAGAGATTTTCCTCATCTCACTCAAAATTCACTTTCCAGCAAATTGCTGAACTTACTTCATTCTTTAGCAAAGCTTCTCATGAAGTCAGCAGAAAACACATTGTAATGCATGTGTAAAGGGGAATGAGGAGGGAGAGGAAAGATCAGAACTTAGCTTCCAATCTGTTTTTCAATTCCTTTTCAAGTAAAAAATTGATTTTTTCTTCATTTCATGTGTTTGTGTGCCATGTGCATATGTGTATTCATGTTTACTTGCATATAGATGGACGTGTGCACATGCACATGTATGTGTGTGCATGTGTGCCTGAGGCTAATGCCAGGAATCTTTGAATCTCCATTGATTACCCTGCAGCTTTATTCTTTGAGGCAGGGACTCCTGATCCATCCAGAGTGCACAGATATGGATAGGCTAGCCTCGCTAGCCAGCTAGCTGGAAGGATCCCAGTCTCCGCCTTCTGATCTGGAATTACAAGGAAACAGCCATGCCCACCCAGCATTTATGTGGATTTTGTCGATCCAAACACCAGTCTTCTTGCTTGTACAAGTTACCTCTCTGGTCCATCAAACCTTCCCTTTATTTATTTTATTTTGTTCTTGTAGCCATTAGAAATATATTAAATAAAAATGTAACATCTAAAATTTAGCAGCAATCTTGAAAATCCAGCTATCTTCCTTTGCTGCGTTGAATTCATCACCTCTACAAATAACTACAGATAAACGACTTTAGAATCAGAGTGTATGGGAATGAAATGTTTGGTGGAAAAACAGGGAAATAAGACATCAAACTCAACAAGGAACTTTCTAACAGGCTTCCCTTTCCTACCACTTTTTTCCTTCACTGTTCTTGTTTCTCCACCAGATTTTATACACAGGTGTGGTGGTGTACGCCCCTGCTCTGGCACTCAATCAAGGTAAGTTATTAGGCATCATTTACCGTAGAACATTTAAATTCTCATCTTTGAAAGACACGCATTCAATTCCTTGTGGGGGAACACACTCTTATAGTTAGTGGGCTCAGAATGACTATAGTAGTCATCACCAGCAAGCTCTACAGTGTACTGAAAATACACTTATTATTACTATATTATTATTGAAAATAATGTAAAACTATTGTTCACTAGATTTTTCTTTAAAAATGGTTGGTTCTAAACACTGAATTCAATTGTATGTTGTTTGTTTGGGCATTTCAGTTTTGTCTTCTAATCTTTGGTGGAAGCCTCGGTATTTTATACTCATAACCACTAAGTAAGGTTATCTGTGTTATAGGCTCCTTTGTGTAGTAGGTCATCTGAACACAAGAGTAAGCCATGTCTATAATATATACATCAAGATGTATTGTTGATCCTTTCAAGATAATAGAATCCTAGAAACATGAAGGAAAGAAAAAAGTGACAAAAACAGAAAACACGTTTCTCAGTGAGAGCTACCATATTGAAAGTCTTTAGAAATTAATTTCATTGAGCTGTATAGCTATATTGAGAAGGACCAATTAAAAAACTTAGCTTCGAAGTTATTTTTGTATCCCTTAGAAATATTAAACATAAATTTAATATTCCAAAATTAGAAGTAATCTTGATAATCCAATGCTTTTCCTCCATATAATGATTATGCATCTCCTCTACAACTAAGAGATAGAGGTAACTTCAGAACTTGAGTCGGTGGTTTCAGATTACTCAGACAGACTTAGTTAAGAAGGAACATCAGCAACAACGTCAAAATTGAACCAATGATCAGAGCCAAAGAATCTTAGGAGGAAAATCTTACAGATTATCACATGAAATTTGTGGACTGGCTTGGTGTACAAAAATATAATAAAGCAATAATTCTCAGAGGTTAGAAAAGTTAGTAAGGGCAACTAATTTGATAATCTTCTTCCCACAAAGAACACTAACTGAAATGTTGTATCTTTTTCCTCATAAATTTGCTCTTTTGCTTCTTCAGAGAAACTTCTTTTAATGTTTTTTTCCACCCCGCCCCTCTTTTTGTAGTAACTGGGTTTGATCTCTGGGCATCTGTGTTTGCAACAGGAATCGTATGCACATTCTACTGTAGCCTGGTATGTACAGAGCTGTGAAAAAATATTTTAGCACTATCCCCTAATATGAGATAAGGGTAAATCTCCAACAAGAGGACATTTAATTACAGAGGGAGTTGCTATTCTAAAGCTAAGCGAGAATATATTAGCTTGTGTGTCCCTTTTTCCTGAGGAGTCTGTATTACTTTCTTTAAAAGTCTTTTCATTACCAGCTATAGGAGAATCTGGGCTCTAAGCTCATTCAAGAAAATCATGTTGAATGAGAAATGATAGAAAGAACTATCACCTTCTTCAGAGGACAGGTGACTCTATGTAACTTCTGAGAAAAGTAGCTGTTCCTTAAGCACTTATCAGTCATAAGCAAAATGTATATTTCTCTGTTTATGTTTGAAAAATGACAAAATACACATATGTGAGTGAGCAAGGATGGTTGCTGTTTTATACATCTGAGGATTCCACAGCTGTTTTATCTCTTATTTACAGAGAATCCTAGATTACATTTAATATTTGGGTGTGTGCATGCTTGGTTGTCAATCAAGCAAGCCATGTGGTGTTGAACGAATGCTTATATGGCAGTTAATATAGACAGTCAATGAGCACCCACTGTGTGTTAATTTCCCAAAATTCAAATCTTTTGTTTCTTCTGAATAATCATATAATTTGTTAGTATATTTAACTAGTCATTGTCAGATAGGAGGAGTCTCTTTCTTCCATAATAAAGAAGAATAAAGTAATTGGCATACATTATCAAGAAACAGGCTGGGCTATCCATGCACTTGATGTCATGGTCATATCATAGACCCTTCCAATACATGATAATGTGCAACTCAAAACACAGGTTTCTCTTTTTTAAACATGGCAGAGCTCACCATTTGACCTGCTGAAATATTTGTCTTTATTTTTTCCTATTCTCTTCTCATTACTATAATTTTCATATATTGTCTTCACACTTTTTTTAGAAACAGACTCTTCTTCTGTCCATGCTGATCATATGTGACAGATTCACTACTCTAAGGTACCTCTGGCAGCAGAAAGGAAACTGGATTGTGCGCATAACTCTTAGATGTACTGTTATGAAACTGTCTTCTTCCCTAAATAAAATAAAAAATGGTACAACATAAAAATAATTTCAATTTGCAAATTATCAGGACTAGTATATTTAAGGCATGAGTCGTGTGTGGGCAAGAAGGATCAGACTTCCCTGCAGGCAAGTTCACGTAACAGTATCCTGATGGAACTAGTAAGTCTTGGACTCCTGTAGTATACAGCAGCTGAGTGTGGGACTATCTATCTTATTTGTCTGGGGTCATTGTCATTGCAGGAATCTGAAGTGGTTCTTGTTGAGTAATTCACTTTGATTTATGCCAAGAAAATAAGTGCAAAAACTTTCTGGGGAAAGAGTCCAATTTAAGACCATAAAATAACCCAATTAAAATCCTAAAATAAAATATCATTACAAACTGAACGTAACAAGGTACCATGAGTGATGAGTAATAAAACTTGAAAGAGAATCTAGCCTCTGAGGAACACCATGTATTCAAATGATAAGATGTTTAATAATGAATAGATAATCACAATCCATTTAAATAAGGTATGTAGTTTTAAAGATATTTATTAATCTTTGAATTCACGTGGAATGATCATATTATGGTTGTACAATAAAAATATATGCATTTGAAGAGATGATTTTCATATAGGAAGATATATCTGAAGAACAAAATCTATCAGAAAGAATTAAATAAAAAAAAGACAGAAAAATGGGGATATATTTAGAACAAAATGAGATGAACTAATTTATGACCAGCTGGAATCTAGGGGAATAATATATCCAGAATGGAGAAAAGGCAATATTTCAAAACTTATAACTTGAACTTTTGATAACTGATATAAGATATGAATCTACAAATTTGACAAATGCAACCTCAAAGATGAAAAGAAAATTTTTTATCTAGACACATCAATGAAACAGCATATGTAAAGAAGAGCTAAAATACAGCCACAGAGGGGAAAAGATGCCTACCCCAGAAATCTTTCAGCAGATTTCTTAGCAATAAAACTAGAAACGGTAGCACAGTTGGTCCAGTGCATCAAGGGAAAATAACAGTCAGATTACAATTACCTTTTCATCAAAACTGTCTTTCAGGAATGGAGTGTTAGGAATCAGTGTATTTATGACTAGCAGATCTTCTCCTAAGATTAATCTGGAGGAAATATGGTAGGGAGAAGGATAAAAATCTGACCGATTTAAGGGGGCAGCTGCTGATTAGAAAAGATAATACAAGTTGAGCATCCCTCATCCAAACATCTAAATGCTACACAAATTTGAAACTTACTAGACATGGGCAAGATGGTTGAAAGGTCTTATATTTTTGAGCATTTCAGATTTTGTATCTTTATGTTACTTAAGACACATTTATAAAAATCTATACAAGTATTCCAAAATCTATAAAACCCTGAAATCTGAAATATATTAAATTTCAATATAATTATTTTAATATGCAGTAAAACAATAATATAGCTTTTTATATAGTTTTGATATTAAGTAGAATGACTTCTCTCTAAATCATAAAAAACAGCATATGAATTAGATATCAGATTTAAAGTTTTTATTTTATTTATTCACATTTTGTTTGTTTTTTTGAGACAGGGTCTCCCTGTGATCGCACATGGCCTGGGACTCACTATGTAGATCAGGCTGACCTTGAACTCACAGAGATTCACCGACCTATGCTTCCCCAGTGCTGAGATTAAAGACATGCTCCACCATGCCCAGCAACAAAGCTTGAATTTTAATTCTTAAGAATTTGTGGCAAAATTTCAAGAGGAATTATTTAATAAAACATTCAAAATCGGGGCTGGAGAGATGACTCAACAGTTAAGAGCACTTATTGCTCTTGTAGAGGACCCTGGTTCGGTTCCCAACACCCACATGGCAGCTAACAACCATCCATAACTCCAGTTCCAGGGGATCCTATGCCTTCTTCTGACCTCCAAGGGCATTGTATGACATGGGTGCACTTACACACATGCAGGCAATACATTCATATGTAAAAATAAATAAATTATTTTTAAAAATCAGTCAAAATCAAACATTGTGGTTTAAATAAAGTACTACATTTTATCTAAAGAAGATAATTAGAAGCTACATATAGGAAGAAAAATAGGACAAATAGAAACTCAAATGTAATCAAGTCTGGAGATTTTAATCAACACCATAAGAAAAAAGAACAAAGTTTGCTATGTCCTGTGCTTCTTAGTCTTCTTGCTCACACAACACATATGCCTAAAAATAATCATTTATTCATGTTATCCAAACAAATTCTTGTTTCTATCATTCACAGGATGATACAATTATTGGTTTGGAACTGAAAGATCTTCATTACGCACATACAATCCTCCCATGTAATCTTGTCTCACTATACCTCTGCTTCATCTCTGTTTAGCCAGGCAAGAGGCAGTAGTGCCTCACCAAAGAGGCAACCCATTTTTCCTATACCTGCTTTTGTACTGCACTCTATGTGTGGTTATACTGCATGTAGGAAATAATCAGTAGAAGAGTTTTTAAAATGTGATTCCTGCCATCCAGGTAATTTGAAAATTAGTGAAGTGATTATCAGACCTCAAAGAACAAAGGCTAAGACAAAAGAGAGGAGAGGGGAAGAGGGAAGAGAGAGGAGAGAGGAGAGAGGAGAAAGCATGACTAGCCCATGTTCAGGCATGTTCTGAACAGTACATAATCAATGGCAAGTATTCTCTAAAAACTGAAGCTTTTGATATTTGGTCTTCATACTACTGAATTCTGAAACTGATATTGGAGTTAGGAAGGCTTGATGCCTTTAAGAGAAATTAAGATTTTACTGTGTAGGGGGTATGGTAAGAAATTTATCATTCTTGCTGGACATGGTGGCACACGCCATTAATCCCAGCACTTGGGAGGCAGAGGCAGGCAGATCTCTGTGAGTTCAAGGCTACACTAGTCTACATAGTGAGTTTCAGGACAGCTAGGGCTACAGAGAGACCCTGTCTCAAAAAGAACGAAAAAAAAAAAAAGAAATTCATCGTTCTTCACAACATAACTTGAAAACACATAAAAATACAACTTTAGCAGGGACTTTAATGTTTACTTTAAAATGATATTTTAATTATAAAAGAAATTATGATCAACTCCAATGTCTTCTTTCCTCTCAAGTTCAAGATAAAACGTCAACTTTTCACAGAAGTTCTTGACACTCTGGAGGAGTAATAGGATGATAATTCTCTTTTTTCGATGTTAAAAATACCACATCCTTTTATTTTCCTGGTGCTTATTCATTTGCAAAACACTTTTTATATTCCACTTCACTTAATGTTTCCCTAATTGCCTACCCCATATCCACTGCAGTCCTAAGGGATTCTGTACATGGAATGCAATAGCAAGCTCTCCCTTTCCTCTTTTCCTTCTGCCTACGTGCTTTCAGTAAGAATTCTACATCAGAATCATGTGTGGAACTTTGAAAAGTCACCGAGGATAGAGTCCCAACCCAAGCCTCAGTTGATTTACAATCCTTGGGGATGGAACATGGATATTGTCTTCCTTCCTTCCTTCCTTCCTTCCTTCCTTCCTTCCTTCCTTCCTTCCTTCC